GATTGACAAAGCACAGAGCAGAGTTTAGGGCTGTTGTACATGGGGTGGCTATGAGTCGCACGTGACTTGATGGCACATAACAACAAACAACAAGTAGCTTTTTAGTCTCTAATAATTCCTTTCTTTTTTACTTCCAGGTGGTGAATTTTGGGTTAATCACTTGAAATCTTAATGTTGGAGAAAAGTTTTCCAATGGCTAGATAATGATGTGATTCCTGAAGATTAACTTTTAATACTACATGTACCGAGAAATCTCCAGATGATGTGGTTGTAAAGAGCATCACAAAAACCAGAGGAGACATTTAAGGTGAGTGTCATTCAATTAAAAGAAATCAGTACCTCAGGAATATCTCTTGGAGGGTCCTAATGTTAAATATGTATATTATACATGTTTATAAAGGCATGCATCACTTAACCTGCTCAGTCCATCCTCTGAAATAGTGTACTCGTGATTGGAATGTTGTACAAACACTATGTTACGTAGAGTACATACATTTGTATAGACCAGGTAGGCACATATCAGTGTAAGCCCATCAGCATGCTCTGACCCCCACCATTGGTTACCAGAGTCTGGTAATTTGCTGATTTACAACTCTAGTGACCTGCTTCCAGTACACAGTCCTTGGGAAGCCTGATCAGAATTGAAGGCCCTAAGAGATGTCTCAGACTGGACAAGACACACTGTCCACTGGAGTGGGAGCTGAGAGCTATAACTTGTTATCATGTGGCTCCAAAACTCCAAGCTGCACTTGAGGACATGTGCTACAAACTGTGGCTAGAAGGCTGCCTCCCAGATAAGGCTGCAGGCGTGGCAAATTCCATGCTGGTCTGCCTCCTCTTCCAAGCATGCCTCCTCCACGTCTAGTGGATGTATACATAGAGGTTACAGACAAGATGTTTTACAGTCGATACCAAGTCAGGAAAAACTATGAACTTTCAGGGTTTGGTAACAGTGAAATGAAAACACACTTATTTCCAAAATCTTTCTCCCTGTTTTTAACAGAAATCCTGCAATAGAGAACATCTGTAAAAGTGATTGGCATTCAGTGTGGGAAAGCCATCTGTCTGCTGGACTACAAGTTTTACTGAGCAGTAGAGAAATTCTGCATTCTGCTTTTGATTGCTATGAATGTGGCAAAAACCTTTGTGGACCCCTGACTCCCTCACCTCTTAGCAGCTCTCACATTGGATACAATGTAAAGCTTGTGGAGACGGTGTACACCCACTGACAGGGTACAGGTTGTGGAGAAGCAGTTGGACCTCCCATCTAATCATTCATATAGAATGCTGGCCATGGGGGGAGTGGAGGTGGGGGACAACCATTAATGTAAGGTATGTGTGAAGTACTCCGTATCTAGCTCAACACTTGAGAATTCTAGGAAGCTCTGGTGGCCTAGTGGCAAGAAGCTGTCCTGCAATCCCCGAGGTGCGCGGTTCGAATCCACCAGATGCTCTACTGCAGAAGGAGAGATAGTCTCCTCCTGTACCAGTCAGATCCAATTTGACGGTACACATACAAAAAAATAATAAAATTTAAAAAAAAAAGAATTATGTGACAACAGTGCTGGATGTAACCAGTTACACTCATTTCTGAAGTTTCTCATCCTCTTGGACAGATGTTAAACTTGTTCACCCTATCGTTTTCTTTTATTCCTCATTTTCTGTGAAAATTCCATAAAAGAAATATGTCTTATGAATGTAAGGAATTTAGGGAAGCCTTTGGTGAGACTTCATCACTCACTAAACATGTAAGAACTCAGAGTGGAGAGAGGCCTTACACATGTAAGGAATGTGGGAAATCCTTCAGTCGGACCTCATCCCTCACGACGCACATGAGAACTCACACTGGAGAGAAGCCTTTTGAATGTCAGGAGTGTGGGAAAGCCTTCGGCCGGGCCTCTTGCCTCACGACGCACATGAGAACTCACACTGGAGCGAGGCCCTATGATTGTAAGGAATGTGGGAAAGCCTTCAGGCAGCTCTCGGCCCTCACTACACATATAAGGACTCACAGTGGAGAGCGGCCCTACGAGTGTCAGGAGTGTGGGAAATGCTTCAGTCTGCCTTCCCACCTCAGTCGGCATTCAAGTTCTCACAGTGGAGACAGACCTTATGAATGTAAGGAATGTGGGAAAGCCTTTAACGATTCTTCAGCCCTCACTACACACATAAGAACTCACAGTGGAGAGAAGCCTTATGAATGTAAGGAGTGTGGGAAGGCCTTTAGTCAGGCCTCACACTTATCTAGACATCTAAGTTCTCACTCTGGGGAGAGACCTTATGAATGTAAGGAATGTGGGAAAGCCTTCAGGTGTTCCTCAAACCTTACTAAACATTTAAGGACTCACAGTGGAGAGAAGCCTTATGTCTGTAAGGAGTGTGGAAAAGCCTTTAGTCATGCCTCCTCACTCACTGAGCATTCAAGAATTCACAGTGGAGAGAAGCCTTATGAATGTAAGGAGTGTGGGAAGGCCTTCAGTTACGCCTCCTCCCTCATTACACACATAAGGGTTCACACTGGAGAGAGGCCCTATACCTGTAAGGAGTGTGGGAAGGACTTCAGTCAGGCCTCCTCACTCACCACACATTTGAGGACTCACAGTGGAGAGAGGCCTTACGAATGTCAAGAATGTGGGAAAGCCTTTAGCCGCTTGTCCTACCTCACTAGACATTTAAGTTCTCACAGTGGAGAGAGACCTTATGAATGTCGGGTCTGTGGAAACGCCTTTAGTGACTCCTCAGCCCTCACTACACACATGAGAATTCACAGTGGAGAGAAGCCTTATGAATGTAAGGAATGTGGGAAGACTTTTAGTCAGGCCTCACACTTGTCCAGACATGCAAGTTCTCACAGTGGAGAGAGACCTTATGAATGTAAGGAGTGCGGGAAGGCCTTCAGGTATTCCTCAAACCTGACTACACACATAAGAATTCACAGTGGAGAGAGGCCTTATAAATGTAACGAGTGTGGGAAGGCCTTCACCCACGCCTCCTCACTCACTGAGCACATAAAGACTCACACTGGAGAGAGGCCTTATGAATGTACAGTATGTGGGAAGGCCTTTAGTCGTTCCTCACACCTCACGTCGCATATGAAAATTCACAGTAGAGATACCACCGTATATCAGAATTGGGATGGTCCATTCTTACTGCTGTGATTCCAGCCACCAAGTCTGCAAGTATGCAGCAATGTTGCTCGGTTAACAAGACAGCAATACCAACTCATAAAAGTGGTTGTTAGAGTTTCACTATAAAACCATCAGTGTTAATGGATTATTCAATCCAAGTAAAATCTCACTTTCTTAAGATCTTTTGGGAGTACAATGAAGGCTTCAGAAGCTTGCCTTGTGTAATTGTAGTTTTATATTTTTAATGTTTCCTTGATGTTATTTGACATACCAAAAAAATCAAGTCAACCCTGCTCTTGTATTTTCTGTAAATTTTGTTTTACCATATTTATATTTACTAGCATTCTTTCCTGTTGTAATGTTAACAATTTCCCCATTTATTGTTAGTGTTTCATAGTGATAATTTGTGTAAATATTCTTTTTCATCATGCATTGAACTACTAATTTTTAGTACTCATGAATAATGAATTATTGCTTATTATTATTGTTACTACTGTAGTGTCATCTAAGTGCTAATTTCTACTCCAAACGTTTTTTATGTTTATTGATTGAAACTCTGCCAGGAATATCCTTTTCTCTTCTCCCCTTTGTTAAAACATTTTACGCCAGTTTTTGCCAGTATGAATAACTAGGTGTTGTTGTTCTTGTTCGCTTTTCCCTTTCTCAGGTTGTCCCATATTTGGCTGTTTGAATGCTCTTTAGTAAGCTCCCGTATTTCTTGACATGTTTCTACTATGATTACCACAGTACTTACTGCTTTTGTTCAGGGTTCCCCAGTCTTTTCATTTCCTGAGTGGTGGGATCAGACTTGCTTCCAGGAAGTCCTGGTTACTTTTGTTAGTTCCAGCCATTACATATGGTTATTGCCACCAGCTGCTCAGTGGAAAAAAGACATGGGAAATACGTGACTGTAAGTGTACACATGTAGAGAGATTTATTACTATATGTCTGCATGTGTTGTACTAATCACAGGATTCATTCACTTATATTCCTGATGCCCGCCCAAACCGCAAGATTAATTTTACCCTTTCTTCTATTTTGCACGCTAGTCTTTTTTTCCCTGATGTTAATACTCCTGGCTGTCATTCCCACATACATTCTTTGCTGACTGTTGTGTCAACTCCTGGCTGTCATTCCCATATACATTCTTTGCTGACTGTTGTGTCATTTCTGTCTCGTTGGGAGTTGGAACTCCTTCCAGCTTTTAAAGCCAGACATGCCAACAGTCAAGAGACTTTTCATCAGGGGAACCATGAGTTTGGCCTATTGGGGACACCCAGCCTTTGAGTTATCTACGATATATAAAATACCTCTGGAATTGCTGTGAGGTAATAATCACTTTGCAAAAAGTAATTTGCCCTTTGTTTGGGATTCCTGAGAGCCATGGTGCACCAAGGCTTGGTGGGTATACATAAGAATCAGAACACCTGGTGGCCCCACGTTAAGCTGATTTTAGCCTTTATGCAGGAGTGGCAAATGAAAGCACTTAAGTCAGCGCCTTAAGGGAGGTTTCAGCCTGTGAGTGTTCCTTCTTTTGGGAGAGTAGCGTGCCCTGGGGACATGGAAACTCCATGGAGGCCTTCCCCCGTGCATCTCTTCATTTATGGTATTTGTGTATTTCAGCACTTAACAATTATTGTCATGTACGCATATTGACCCTCTGACAGGTTTTCAGAGGCAGTAAATCTCACTGATGGAGATTGCCCGTTTTCTCCTGCATTGCAGCTAGTGGATTCAAACACTGGATTGGCAGCACAGCTTCTTACCATTATGCTTACTGAACTCTGGTCAGAGGTTTGGCTTTTCACGAGTTCTCTGAATTGTTCAAGTAAATAATTGAGCCACAAGGAGGCTTAGAAGTAAAGGGACGAAAGAGAGCCGCAGACTTTTAGCCTGCAGGTGAGAAGTTAGGAGTCCTTTAGATGTCCTCTCTTGAAGCTAGTGGTGTTGGGGGTTTTTGGTTAGTTGGTTTTTTTCTTTTTGGCACTCTGAAGGACAGTGTTCATTGGATTTGTGTTGTGTGTTATAGTTCTGGGAGGCCAGGGTCAAAAGGAGGGTCCTGTGTGAATGACTGTTGTCAGAATGAAATAAAGAGTCCCATGTAATGCAGTTGGTGTGTGAAATAACATTTTTCAGTCTCCTTCCTTGTCATACATAATAAGCGCTTAAAGCTATTAAATACTTTTAGACCCTAAAACTGATGTCTCAGCTACTTATTAAACAAGCTACTTATTAGACTTGAGATACAGTTTACCAGACTATCTACCTAAGGTCTCTACAGAGGGTTTATAATGTGTGAGTGACTTAAATAGAGGTCATCTGGGAGGAACATCCTCAATTTCCTGCTCCTCTTAACAAAAAGGCCTTCTCCCTTACCATACTCTGTGTCTCAGTGTAATAATTCACCCTCTCCCTCCTTTTAGGGCCTCAGCTCCTTCAGTACCTCCTATCTCCTGACTGTTTTCTTGATATCAAATGTCCAGCTTAATTTAACGTTCTAACTCTAATAGTCTACTGGCATGTGCACTGAAATCTCAAAGAGGAGTGTCCTGCAGGTAGGCCGTGGCAGTCTTTCTCCAGCACTTAATATGCGCTTTCCTGTTTTCCTTGTCTGTGCAGTTCCCTCATTGGCACCACAATACTGGAGTAGTTTCAGGGCATTTGGACCATGTGATTGCTGTGGATCTTGCCTGGCTCAGAGTAATGTTCTAACACTGTCTTTTTGGATAGAGAGACTCCTACAAGAACAACAGTGGGATCTCTGGTGTTTATAACAGCCAAATCTTGTCAAATGGCTGACATTTATTTTCTAAAAGCAAGTAATTCAGCATAGTTGAGCTTCTTGTATGGACCTGTGCTAGTCCGGTGGACTAAGATTTGAACTGCTAACGAAGATTGATGCTTCAGACCTGCCAGCTGCTGCATGGCAGAAATGTTTGATAATCTACATCCTCAAAGTGGATAGAACTAGAAACCCTGTGGGATAACTGTACTCTGTCCTGTAGAGTCCCTATTAGTTGGAATCAAGTCACTGTCACTTGATGGAACCTCTTGATCTTTAAATGAACTGATTAAACTTTGAATTGTTGTGTTGGCAAAGAATCCAGAATATGCCACAGACTGCAAATTAGCAAATAGATCTGTCACGGAAGAAGTGAAGATGATGAGGGGTAGTCTCACAAACGATGGGTATGTTAGAAGGAGGGGCTAGTTCCTGGAGAATGACATCATTCCTGGTAGAAGGTAGGAGGAGGTGGATTGATACAGTAGCGACAACAGGCTGTATTGAGCATAACACATGGTTGTGCTTAAGGATTGAGCAGTATTGCTTTCTTTTGTGCATAGGATCACTATGACTCAGACTCAACAGCACCTAACAGCAGCGGCAACAATGTATCTTGGTTTTAGAAAACCATTGGATACATCTTGGTACTGTGTGCTGTCAAGCCAGAACTGACCCATACCTGACCCTCCAGCAGGTTTTCAGAGATAGTAAATCACACAGAGGAAGTTGCCCATTCTTCTACCAGGGAGCACTTGGTGGATTCAAACTGCCTGCCTTCAGGTTGGCAGCACTGACCTTTACCACTAACTAGGTCACCAGAACACTCGTGGATTCATGACATTATATTCATGGTGTCTGACGGTCAGGAGCTTAGGAGTGCTCTGGGAAGGAAAACTGCAAGAATGGCATAAGTACAGGTTTTATTTAATCAAGAAACTAAGGTGTGAGTCCAGCTCTAGACAAATGGCAAATGAGTTCACAGATACATCTTAAATTAAGGAGCATTCAGAACTGACTCTTGCTTGCAGCATGTCTAAAATCAGCGTGTCTGTTTCTCTTGTCTGTGCTTGTATCAGATGGGCAGTTGTGTGCATGTCATGCTTTATTGTGTGATAACTGTTAGGATAATTAGATTTTGTGCATTTATTTTTATTTTCTAACATACTGAGTATAACAATCTTTCATGTTATTTGTTGTTAAAGATGAGCAGCTTTCAGTATGGTAAATGTTTGAATAAGGATACTATGTTTCTTTTTCCAAAGGGGTTGGTTTTGTTTCACTTGAGCTAAGTCAGAATCTGGACAAATTTCTACCTCTGTGACTTCCAAACATTTAGAACATGAGATTCTTCTTTGGAGAGCTTACAACCAGGTTGCCAAATCCTTCCTTGCTATACACTGAATTTAGGAAGCCTGAGCTCTGATTTCTGGCCCTACATGTTAGCCTTTCTTACTTACTTACTAACAGAGTTAGCCTCCTGTGGTAAAGGACCTCAGAAATCCTTGACTACTACCACACATACTTTGATGTTTCTGAATTGTGTCCTGCAGTTCTTCAGTATCTTATCTCTTTAATATTTTCACAATATCTAGCCCCTCTTTTCCAGACTTTTTATCTGTCTTCACTGGAAAAGTTGGTCCAAACTACAGAATAGAAAAGTTTCATTTGAAAGCTTGTTCTTGTTAGGTGCAGTTGAGTTGACTATGACCCTGTGAACGATGGCTCTGAATGCTACCCTATCCTAAGCCAACCTCACCGTCTCTGGCATACCAGCCCCCATTGCCATGGTCTCTGTCAGTCCGTCTCATCCAGCGTCTTCCTCTCCTGTGCTGACACTCCACCTTTCCAAACATGATGTCCTTCTCCGAGGACTGGCCCTTCCTGGTTACGTGCTCAAAGTATGTGAGATGGAATTTCATAATCCTTGCCTCCCACAAAGTGGTTTTACTCTCTACAGAACAGACCTATTTGTTTTCCTGATAATTCATGGTGTGGTCAGTATCCTCTTCCTGCACCGTAACTCAAAGGCATCAGTTCTTTTGTCCTTGTTCATTACCCAGCTCTCAGATACATAGGAAGCAATTTGAGAAGACCATGTTCTGAATTAGGTGCACCTTAATCTCTAGACTGACATCATTGCTCTTTAGGACTCTGGAGAGATCCTTGACAGCAGACTTTACCAAAGCAACTTGTCTTTTGATTTTCTGACTGCCGAGGCCAAGAGTGTTGATTGTGGATGCAGGCAAGCTGATCAGCAGTCTCAGTCCTTTCTCCGTCTGTCACGGCGCTCACTGCCTGTTGTCTCAGTGGTAAAGACCATTGCTTTTTTGTTGAGATGCAGTCCGTATTAAACTCTGCGATTTTGGACTTTCTGCAGCAAATACTTCAAGTTCTCAGTTTTGGTGAGCAAAGTTATGTTATCTGTATAGCACAGGTTGTTTAGGTATCTTCCTCCAATCCTGATGCCGCATTATTTTCATAAAATCCAGCTCCTCGGATGATCTGTTCTGCATATAGATTGAAAAGGTATGGGCAAAAGATACATCCTTGGTGCACATCTTTCTTGATTTTGAACCATGAATTGTTTCCTTGCTGTTTAAACAACAGCTTGTTGGCCTAAGTATAGGTTTCTCAGGAGCACAATCACAGGTTCTGGGATTCCCATCCAAACAGTCAATCTGAATGCTTACTAAAGTTTGGTTTATCTGTATATAGTTTGAGCTCTGGGGGCACTGGAAATGTTCCCCACGTCATGATGGGCACGTGGCATTATGTATGTCAGGAGCCACAGGACAGGACCACAACAGCTCGGGTGCACTCTGTGGCCTGTAGGGAATGATGATCTCTGAATGTTGACTTGTTAAATGTATCACATCATGTTCATAGGGACTCTGTAAGCAGTT